CAAATGATTCTACAATTTATATTCAATTCAATTTATCGAATATCAAATTATTACTCCAAGTCTTTGAAGATCAATTTTAATCCTTACTAAATGTGTAAAATTGTGATTTGTACTTAAACTATTTTTGAAACAATTTTCACAAAGTATTTTGAACCAAAATCAAGCCTTAAATCAAATTTTCAAAGGCATGCACCGATGCATCAATACCATGCATCGATGCATCAATGAATAAGTTCAAACATCGAATGCATTCCATGCACCGATGCACTCTCCATGCATCGATGCACTCTGATTTAATTAAAACATCGAATGCATTTGATGCATCGATGCACAATCCATGCATCGATGCACCAGGCTATTTTTCAAACATCGAATGCACTTCATGCATCGATGCACTCTTAGTGCACCGATGCACTAGGAGTCCAACGGTCAAAATATTTGAAATTTTACACTGATGCACCGATGCATAATGGTCATGCATCGATGCATGAGACGCTCCCACCCAGAAAATTAATTGTTTTCACACAATAATGGCTCTATTGACTCCACTAATTATCACCAACGTTCAGAATTGATTCAAGGAGTATTTAAGCAAGCTTAGAAGCCATTGATCAATAACAAGAAACATCAAGCAATTAGAATCAAGAGAGAATCAAAGAGAAAGCATCAAACCTCAAGTTTGAGCATTTCAAGCCTATTTTTCATTCAATATTCATTTTGCTTTCAAGAACACTTATTGTGCTTAATTGTATTTATTCTTGAGTGTTCTTTCTTTGTTCTAGAATTGTGCAAACATATTTGCCTTGTGAGGTTTTTCTTGTAAGTTTGCAAATTTGTATTTCTCTTTGAGAAAAGAGTGTTCTCAAGAATTGGGGTATATTCTTGAGGGAGTTGTAAGGTTATCTCTTTGGCCTCAAAAGAAAGAACAAATTAGTGAATTTGTTGGAAAATCCTTAGTATGGATAGCTAAGGTAGTGGACGTAGACTTTGGTTGATAAAGTCGAACCACTCTAAATCGCTGTGCAATTTCTTTCAATTTTCTGCAAAAGCTTACACCAAAATTTTTATTGCCAATTCACCCCCCTCTTGGCCGATTCAGTCAATCGATTAACTCAACATAATTGATATGTTAAAATCCTTGGCAATGCTTTTAATTCTTTGCTATTATATATCATCTTTTTTATTAAGCGTAAGGGTCACTTTTACCTCTGTAGTAGACTCAATTTATCATTTTCGTCTTTATCATATTTTCGCATTAATTTAATCCTCAAAGTTGTTTAATTACATCATTATATACTATTTCCCTAACTTCAAACCCTAAATCATAAATCTTAAGTTAATGTTTAGTGTTTAAGGTTTAGAGTTTATGGTTTAAAGATGATAAGGCTATGGTGTATGATTTAGGGTTTATAATTTAGGGTTTTAAGTTAGGGGTAGGGTATAGAATGATGCAATTGAGCAACTTCCAGGGTTAAATTGATGCGAAAATACGATATGAGTGAAAATGATAAATTTAATCTATTACATGGGTAAAGTTACCCTTTTACGTATTTATTATTATTAGATTGCTTTTATCGCATTTACATTCAATTTGTGTTCATAAAAAAAAGGAGATGACATTCCTATGTAGAGAAGAAATAGAAGGGATAGACTTCCTACATGTGGATGTGCAAATTCCATGGTTTCTTCTCAAAATAGGGAATATCCCTTAAAAAATAATCCAAAATAAACTAATCAACAATAAAAAGGATAGTACTTTAAATTTTTGACTCGAATTTGCAAGTTTCACTATCACGACAACGTATAAGCGATTAGGTATTAGTTTTGGGCGTTTTGAGGGTACTTACCATTCCCTACACGTAATCGACTTTCTAACCTAAAATGAATCTTTAATAAAATGCATACCAACTTTTGTATTTAAAGTTTTTTTCTTAAAATTGTTTAAAAAGACGTTTTTTTAAGTATTCGACCTACCTAACCAAAAGGTGATTGTTACTTCTAATCAAATTTATTCTAAAATCTAATTTTTTTCTCAAAATAAGTGTAACTTGATTTTTCATTTTAAAACGTTACGACAATTACAATATTTAACTTATGACTTAAATTCTAAATTTTAATATATTAAAAATAATAAATTATTTATAATGTTTAAAAAAATAAACCTTTTAGAAAAAAAGGTATACATATAACATAAAATTTTGATTTTGTTTCTTTAATATAGAATTTTAAAAAAAAATAATATGAATCTTTATCTTTATAGTAGAAATAAATTTAAAATTAATATAGAAATTTTCTTTTTAATATTAATAATATTATTATAAAATTTAAACTTAATATTATAATCTTATTAATTTATAATTTAATAATAAAATAAATAAATATCACATGTCTTGAAAAAAATGAGAAATCCGAAACATCTTTGCTTATTTTGTTACGAGTTCAAATTTGGAGTCCCTTCCAAGCTTCAAGTTCCCAGCACCAACAGAAGAAAAATTATCCAATTTCACAAAACCATTGTTCCCAATGGCCGCCTTCAATAAGCTCTCTCCCCTTTTCACCTCCTCTTCTTCGCTTCGCAGATTCTCTTCTCCTCCTACCCAAAATACCCCTATACTTTCCTTATATTCACCCTTCACCCCTGCCCTCTCTTTCTCTTTCCCTTCCCTTTCTCTAAGACCTCACCTCTCCACTAAAACTCCCTCTTGGGTAATCGCTTCCGCTATCAAGAACCTCTCTGAGATCCAATCTGTTCCTGTCCCCGCCACTCCCGAGGAATTCGCCTCTAAGTTCCCTTCCGATGCCGGAGTTTACGCCGTTTTTGATCGGAACGACGAGCTTCAATTCATCGGCATCTCGCGTAACATTGCTGCCAGCCTTTTTACTCATCAAAAATCAGTGCCGGACCTTTGTTGCTCCGTTAAGGTGCATTTTATAAATATTCTTCCTCTTTAGTACTACTACTTTTTGAGAATTTGTCACTACGGTACAATACATAATGTCCATAACAGCTTTCAATTTGCCGGTGCTGGTTGTTATTTTTATCCTTTGGGTTCTGATTGTTGTGTTTGGGAATTAATGAGTAAATCAGTGCAAGGTATTTAATTAAAGAACTGAATGACATTAATTTGAGCTTTTTAAGTTCTGGTTCGATGGATAGGATGGGATGTTTGAACCAATGTCATGCAGTGTAGTCTAAGTAAATGTGCAGCTTGTTTAATTTTGATTTTTGGATGGATTTGCTCATATATTTAGTTCATTAATGTTTACAAATTTCTGATTGTTTTCCTTCACAGTTTAGTTGCCAAAAGTTCATTGCTATTTGTAAGTTGGTGGATCTAGTTGTTTCAAAACTGTTCCAATGGTTTAGTGTTTATCAATGTGCTGGAATTTGATTGTTCAATGACAAGGTATCAAGGTGAATGATCTTTTTCAGAATTGTATTCCTCTTGCAAAATGATTTCAAAATCGAATGTTATGCCACCAGATTGGGTGGTTTGTATGTAAAATTTGTAGGTTGAGAACTTCCATCATGAACCATCCTTGAGGCTTGAATAGATTAAGCAGCAAATGCTTCCAATTCTGACTGAGCTAGTTGAGTTGAAATCCCACCGGACTTTGTTATTCTTAGTGTATTCTTTTTTGGTCAAATTGTATAAAGGTCATACAGATACAATTTGACCTTTTCTCTTAATCCTCTTTGTTGAGAGGTCATGTTATGGTAAAACTGCTCGTGTTTATTCTTAATGTATTCGTTTCAAGCATTGTGTAGGTCGGTGTAGTCAATGAACCTGATAGAACAGCTTTAACTCAAGCTTGGAAGTCATGGATGGAAGAGCATATACAAGCCACAGGAAAGGTCCCACCAGGCAATGAAACAGGAAACACCACATGGGTCAGGCAGCCCCCGAAAAAGAAGGCAGATCTCCGTCTTACACCCGGTCGTCACGTACAATTGACGGTTCCACTCGAAGAACTCATCGATAAGTTGGTGAAGCAGAACAAGGTAGTGGCCTTCATTAAGGGGTCAAGAAGTGCACCGATGTGTGGATTCTCGCAGAGAGTAATCGCCATTCTCGAAAGCCAAGGAGTGGATTACGAGAGTGTCGATGTGCTGGATGAAGAGCATAATGGTGGATTGAGGGAGATACTGAAGCAGTATAGTAATTGGCCCACATTCCCTCAAATTTTTGTGAATGGAGAACTGGTTGGAGGGTGTGATATATTGACCTCCATGTACGAGAAGGGTGAGCTTGCTGGTTTGTTCAAACAGTAACGGGTTTCAATTTTCCTCTCGGCACTGTCAACTATGATAGCGCGTGTCTATTAGTAAACTGTCTGTAATCTTTATCTCTATTATTATAAAATGCTGATTATGATATAGGTTGATCCAGGACTTAACTTTGAAATAATTGAAGTATTTTTTTTTAAACAATTGAAATTAATATAATTGAAACTGTTTTAGCCTGTTTTACAATTTTATATAATACTTAAATGAAATAATTATAAATGGCTATATGAGGATGAATACAAAACTAATAAATCTATACAATATCTTTTTCATTTAAATTAACTTTTAAAGATGTTTTAAAATCTGACTTATTACATAACTATGGGTAAATTACAAATTTACTACTTCAACTATCATTTTCTGTACCAGTACAAAAGATAAATCGAAGATGGAAAAAATATTATTAAAAACATTAAAATGTACTCGTATTAAAAGAACAATATGAATGCAACGTGAATATATGATTGATTTAATTCGTCAAATTAATATTAAACATTATTATGTTTTGTATAAAAGTTTATATAAATTTGTTCACTTTGAACACAAATTATAATATTTATTAGATATATTTAATGTTATCAAAATTGAATCATTGTGTTCAATTATGTAAAGAGGCGACATGAGACTCGATATGAAAATGTTAGTACCAAAATAAAAACACAGCAATAGATGGATGACTATCTAATAGCTTATCCAATAAAAATACCAATACTGTATCAATTATGTTTTTCAATTAATTTATTCAACTTGTTCAGTAACAAAGTTGATCAACTTTGTCCAACATCAATTCCTTTTTCTTTTTCCAATTATTTTATAATCACTCATACAGAGGGTAAAGGAAGAAAATTCACACCAAGCTTTCACAGGCGGCTTCGCTGGGTCGATAAGGCTGGCTTAAAACTGGCAAAGCCAGTGATTTCCCTGCCAGTTACCAAGCTGTTGATGTCATACGTGCCTTCGTACGTATAAATGGGTTCCAAATCACAGAAAGCCTGCATCATCACCAAACCAAGAAAACTCGAAAGATGTTTCCACAAAAATTCTCTTTTGCTTCGAAATTGTTATATTTTAGCAGAAATGAAATCGAAAGTGATTTTGTGGTGAGAGTAGAGAACCTTGGCAACAAGAAAATCAGCCAAAATTCCGTTGCCACCGAGTAACTCCCGTCCTAGAGCAACTGTCTTTCTTGCCGTCGAGGTAATCCAAGACTGAAGATCATATAACAGTTTGTCATGGCTGAGAATCCAAAACAAAACCTTAACATGAAATCATGATCTTCCTATAGTTTAAATTGTCCAATACCTTTCCCAAGCTGGCCTGACCTGGAGTCATTTTACCTGCTTCGTACAATTTGCAAAGACGCCAACCGACAAGGGTCATTGCTTGGATATTACCCAACATCTGAGTAAGTTTCTGCTGGTTAAGTTGGAAGGCCGCCAACGGTGCTTCGAACTGTTTCCTCTCCTTCAGATACCTACATCATAGCAAAATGCAGATCATGTCATCTTGCATTCTTGAAATGTTATTTCCCGAATTCAAGGAAAAAAACAGAATTCATGCAATACCTGACACACATATCATAAACACCCATCGATATGCCAACAGGTTGCCATGCAACAATTACTCGAGAAACAGCCAATACCTGCTTTCCATGATGGAAATTCATACATGCATTATATCGCATAAGATCCAGCAGGATAAATATAATGGTTAAGTTGAGATATGATATTTTGAGGAAGGTTATTACAACAAACCTTGCTTGTATCTTGAAACGAGTTCACACCAGGTAATCTGTCCTGATCCGGAACAAAGACTTTCTTTAAGAGAATATCTCCATTTTGAACAATTCGCAATCCAATCTTGTTTGGTATTTTTGTAGCCGTCAATCCAGGGGAATCCTTCTTAACTAAATATCTGAAACGGAAGGTAAAAGCATTTAGTGATCAAGTAAAAAAGAGCAGGCAATGAATCTACCCACCTTACAATTAGCAATCTCAATGTTTCTCTCTTAGGTTATCATTTCAGTAAACTTGGGAAACAATGGCTCATGCCCATAGTAAAATTTCAAGGTCTGCAAATAACTTCAAATGATATTTATTCGCTGCAAATTGATTTTGGATTCTCATTTTATATCTGCTAATACTAATACTTTGTAGTTTCCGGTGAACATATGATCATGTCTATCTTTGAAGCCGTTAAATGAATTAATTTGTGTGCAAGACCAAGCACTAAACACTTTCTCGTATGCTGTTTCACTTGCCCATTTATCTGGTTGGTTGTAGTATTCCTGGCAAAGATAACCAATACATCTGCAAAAGTGCTGTTTCCTATCCAGCGTTTTTGTCCCTCGAGTATCCAACCTCCTTCGACCTGAATGTTTGAGATGAAAGCAAAAATGATATAACAAAAAAGTTAGAATTTTGATCAGTGGTTGAAATTAGCTATATTAAACGAATATATGTGAAAACTATAATACAAGGTTGTGGATAGACCTTTGTTGCAGTTGTATTCAGAGAACTCGCATCACTTCCATAGTCAGGCTCAGTCAAAGCCTAAAGATAACATTAAGTTTCTTAAATTATGGCTCAAAAAGACACTAAGGATCAACCAGGAAGTTAATGCCCAAAAAAAACACCTACCCAACAAGCTATAGTTTTTAACTGTGCCAAAGAAGGTAAATACTTCTGCTTCTGTTCCTCTGTCCCGCATAATGCTATCATTGATGGTCCAGACAAGTGTAGAAGATCGTGATTAGTTGTTTAGCTTTTTCTAAAGAAAACCATAACAAACTGAATCCATAAATTAAAAAAAACTATAGAAAGTCGTTTCACAGATCTCACCAATGGTAAGCATGGCTAGAGATGAATGCACCAAGATAAAAGTTGAGCAACTTGCATCGACCCTAGCAATCTCTGCACTTGCAATAGCACTTGCAGTAAGCGAGAGACCAGGGCATCCATAACCCTGCAAAATCAGTAATAACAAAACATCATACTTAATTTCCACTTCCAAGGAACAAATAAGATAAAAAACAGAAACCCAGATATGACTAACCTTGATGGTACCACCCGCAATACTAAGAGCACCGAGCTTGGGAATAATTTGGAACGGAAACTCCGCCTTCTCCCAATACTGAGAGAAAATTGCATATCAGTTGCTAAACATCACAGCATTTAATTGTCATCTACCAAACCAAAGTCATCAATCCATGTTGTGAGAAAGGTTCATTATTAGAAAGATACCTCTGCCATTATAGGAGCTACTTCTTTTTCCATACACTCTCTTACTTTATTACGGATAGCCTTCTCCTCAGGCCTCAATAGATCATCAAATTGATAATAATCAGAGGCTGAATTGTTTCATAAGTGCAAAACATGCACATAATTAGAATTTGAGAAAACCCATGAATCATGGATGAGTCTAAAATACATCCCATTAGTATAAGACTAGAAAAAGGCAGAAATCGATTGTAGCAAGGGAAAAAAAAACTTACCAAGAGCATAACTTTTTAGAGTAAATTAGGTAACATTCTAGGTTGAAACTGAAAATATTAGGTGTAAACTGCATAACTATTCCGGTTACTACCTAAAAAGTTACCGTCAAGACATTCTTGGATATAACCGAAATTATTACCAATCAAATAACTTTTTAGAGTAGACAAGTAAAATTTTACGTTAAAACCTGCCACAATATAACATTCTCAGTTATAACCAAAATTATTACCAATTGTATAACTTTTTAGGTTGGACAAGATAACATTTTAGGTTAAATCCCATCGTAAATTAGCCTTAAGTTAAGCAGCGGCACAACAGAACTACCCATTAATCATTTAATAATCAGAAGCAATAATCTGTTCTTCTCCAAAAAAAAATGATAAAAATTGACACCATTTTCAACAAGTCCGAATGCACAAACATAAGCAACATATGTAGCAGAGGTGAAAACAAGAGAACAATGTAAAAAAAAAAAATAATACCAGCAGAAGGAAAATTTGATGCTGGAGTAGCCTGAGGGAATGCAACGGAAACATCCAAAGGTGGGGAGTAATAATAAGAAGGCTTGGAACTTTTGTCAGTTTCATCTGCGAGAAAACAAAGCCAACAAATTTATTAGACTAAGCAAATACAATAAATTATATAAAAAAAAACTAATTTTGTTTTTTTTAATTTAAAATATCCAAGATTTCATATTTACATGTACCCATAAAGAATATTCTGTAAAACTCCGATAAAAAATGCTAGGATTTGTTTAATATTCTAGAAAATTAGTAATAGATGTTCCCTGTGCCGTTTAAGAGCAAATCTAAAATCAAACGGGGCGAAAGATTGTAAAATAGACGGGGGAAAAACTTTTGCAAGATTAACTTCGTATAAAGGAAAATGAACCTTGATGCTGGGATCGAACAGTCATGGTGATCAAATGAGAGTTTTGATTTATCAGGAAGGTAGGAGAAAGACAGAGTTGGCACGCAGACTTAGGATTTCAAATATATAAAAAGGGGGATGATCATGAACACGTATGCTCAAAGATATTGATAACTACGGAGAATTGAGAAAATTACTCTGGTGGCCATATATTTTTGAAGTATTTTATTTTGGTCATTTATTTTAAAATTATCACGTATTGGTCATTTATATTACCAATTTATTCTATTTTGATCACTTATGTTATTAATCAATTATATTTTAATCTTTTATGTTATCAATTTATTATGTTTTGGTCATTAGATTGTTAACTTTGTTAGTTTCATGACATGACAAGTTAGTCAAAAAGATTAATTTCTAACTTAAAAAAATTATGCCCTAATCACTTTTGTCTTTGATTTGTTTTATTTTAATCATTGAGTCGTTAACTCTCGTTAATTTGATGATGTATCACGTTAGTAAAATTGGGTAATTTTAAATTCATCCTTAAATTTCAAGCAAAATACTAATTTGACTTCTAAATACAATAAAAGTCCCCATTATCGACTGATCCTAATCACTATTGTCGCTCAACGTTGACTGGCATCATTAGTCATGGTCGATCGTGTTGCTAATAATAGTTAGACCTAGGGGTGTAAACCAGTCGAGCTCGAGTATCGTTGAGCCGAGTCAAGCTCGAGTATCGCTGAGCTCGAATCGACTCAAAAACTCTGAAATTTAGCTCGACTCGAAAACTCGCGAGCTTAAAATTTTTAAGCTCGACTCGAACTCGAAATCCTAAATTGAAGCTCGTGAGCAGCTCGAAATGGAAAAACAAATCTTAAACTTAACTAGATTGAAGCCTCAAACTCAAACCTGAACCTTAAATACATAAAAGCCTTACTGTATTTTTTAAAAAAATCAACACATAAATGTTAATATTATTAATAATTTATTTTTTAAAAAATAAAATCTTAATATATTATATTTTCGAGTTGGTCACGAGTTTTTTGAGTCGAGTATCAAGTAGCTCATTTCAGCTCGTTAAGAATTCGAGTCGAGCTCGAGTTGAGTCCATTCGATCCGAGTATTTATCGAGCCTTGACCGAGTTGATCTCGAGTGGCTCGCGATCTGTCTCGTCTCATTTACAGCCCTAGTTAAACCTCAAAATTTTTAATTTACTCTTTTTTAATCTCTTGAACGATAATATGATATATATTTCACTGAAAATTTATCTTGAACTTTATAAATATAGTATGGAACCTTTAAATCCTTTGATAAACTATATATTTATTATATTTTTTAAAAACAAAGACATCAAAAATCTAAATTTATATCATAATCTAAATTTGTATCATAATACATTTAATTATAATGATAATAATTTTATTTATATAAACTTTGATAAACTATATATTTTAATTTTGATAAAATTATAAAATAATTATCAAAATCTACTAGTAGGATTGATATGAATTTTTTTCAGGTTTTTTAAAGGACTCTTGATCTTCTAGACGAATAAAATAAAAAAGGAACTCTATCTTCTTCTTTTTTGCTTGATTGATATCGGTAAAATGGACAGTATATATAGTATTGGTGAATATGCAAGAATATATAATATCAATATATCAGTTTATTCCAATATATATTGCTACTTAGATTCAAGGACGGAGTTAGGATTAGATATTGACATAAGTCGAAATTTTAAAGTTTTTAAGAAAAAAGTACAATGACTTTTTTTATAAGTAAAATTACGATGATTTATTAGGTATTTAAATTTAAAATTCATAAGACAATACTTAATTTGTCTAATATTTAAACTTACAATTACCTAAATTATTATTAAACCAAAAATTTGAGAACGTGAAACTATACTTCTTTAGTTCGGTCCCTACTTCATTAAATTTTTAATAAATCTTCATATTTTTAAATTTAAATGCTTAATTTTACATGGATTAAAATACTATTAAATTAAAATCTATCAAATATATAAAATTTTTACAGGTAGAGGCCCTTTTGGCCCCCCAACGGAGCTCTGCCTCTGCTTAGAATAAACTATCGTTGGCTGATAGTTGACAGAATGAAAGCATATAAACTTAATTAAAATTAATTGTTTTAGGTCAGAATGAGTTGGAATTCAATTTATTTCAAAATCGGATTTTTTTTAAAGTTTATTAATCGAGTTTTTCAAATTGTATCATCTGAAATTTGTTTTATATTTAAATTAATTAAAATTGATAAATCTAAACTCAACTTTAAATTATGATTTTTTTTTGTAAAAAAACAAAAGTTTAAATCTCAAATAATTTTTATGAAATTTTATTTTTATATTTAACGTAAGTGAATTAAATTTAATAAGGAAGGAATATAAGGGAGAAACTCAATTGGTAGAGCACAAGGTTCTTAACTTTGGGGTCGTGGGATCAAGTCCTACGGAGGGCATTTCATAATTTGAAGGTCTCCTACGGAAGCTGCTCTCAACCTGGCGTTGGGGGCAGTCTACTATCCTACCTCCCCTTACCCCATTACATATGGGAATAAGGGTCAGCTAATAGTTGGGAGATGGTGTACCCGTAGAAATTTCAAATACTTATATAGATGTTTTTTTGTATTTTCTTAATGATGTAATTTCGTACCTTCTAATTCTTTCCTTGTAAGTGTATGTCTTAAATTTCTAATATAATTTTTTTAAAAGTTTGTATTCATCACATAAAATTACGCATTTATCTTTGAATTCAATGATTGAAAATATTATTTTATTTATTAGTTAATATAAATTATAATATACAATTTAATTTATATAAATTTATATTTTTGTATATTAATTTAACAAAGACAAAAGTCATACAAAGTACCGTATACAATACATAAAACACTAACAAAACAAAGATAAAAATTTACATAAATTAAATATTATCATAACAATATAAACATATTATGATATAAATTTGTTGTCATTGTTTATTTTTAAGAAACATGCTGGTTTTTAAATTAAACTTGTGGAATTTATGGTTTTTTTTAAATAAATGAAATTAGATTCTTGTTTAAGAGGTAAAAATGAATAAATAAAAAATTTTAGGGTATGATGATCTTCGATGATTACTATTGGTGGTAACTGATAACAGTAATAACTAATGAACAACAGTTGACAACGAGAATTTTGACTGGATTTAAAAGTCAAAATGATATTTTATTTAGAGTTCAAGGATTATAGTAATATTAATCCAGGAGTCGAATTAAAATTTAATCATTTTTACTAATTCGTCACATCTTTAAACCAACGCAACCTATAACATAAGTGATTAAAATGTTATTTTTTTCACAATTAATAATCAAAATATGATAGGTTGGAAGCGAAAGGGGCCATTAGTCTAATTTACTCTATATTTATTAACTTTGAGTATTTTTATATTATATAAAAAATTAATAGATGTTTCTCTAAACATCTAAAATAAAGTTTTGAATATATATCTCTATTTTAATTTTCAAACAACTTTTTCTTGTTAGACTTAATTAATAAGGTCCTAATAAGGATGCGTCGTAACACACAATTAGTGTAACACATCGAGGTATATTATTAATAAAAATAAATATAATATAATATAATTTCATATAAATAATTAATCTTTTATTATTGTTTAGTTTAAATTTTAATATAAATACAATTATATTATATTTTTATTAAAAATAATTGTTTTAAAAGATTTTATTTATTTAGGGTTGAAACACTTAATTATTTAAATTTGTTAAATTATTTCAGCAGTAACTATCAAAACCACCGCCGTGTTTCCTTTTCATCGTCAAGAGAAAATTGGTCTTTCTCTTCACCAAACGTCACCCTGCTATTGACCGTCGATTACCCCTGCCCTTGCCGTTCGAGTGGCACACCACCTACCGTCTATTAAAGTATTAAAATGATGCCAATGAAGTTCCAAAAACACACATGCCAGTGCAGTGGATATAAAACCAAATAGTACGTAAAAGTAAAACACGATATTACCTTCAAATCATATGCTTAGCCAGTAGCGCTAACAGCAATGAAATACCTTAACACATTTAAAAGGATTCGGACTGCGGGGATTTTGCTGCGCCTGAATATTAGTACCTCAAAAAGCAAAACTATAATTGCTATGTTTGGGCAAGAAATAAACTTTGCGTACCTGAAAGCAAAGGCAATTATTCTAATGAAATCTGCAGTTCTTGTTCTTCCTTCGAACAAGAAAAATACTGGATATCTGGAGAGGGGATTGTAGATACTCGATTTGTCTGGGTTATGTGCAATGGAAACCTAACCCGACCCCAAACCAATTGAAAGCCCAACTCAAGCCCAACGACCAAGCAGATCAACTTCCAACCCACGTGAAGCCTTGGAAAACGAAAAATGATTATTAGAAGTTACCCAAATATTGGGGTTCATAATCGCATAAAGAAACATAAATGGGGGTCGGTTTTATTGGGAATTAACTACTAGAAAGAGAGAATTAACCACTGGAAACGGGGGAGGAGATTACACAACAACAAAAAAAGAGAGATTAACCGGGAGAGGAACCAGAGATTTGTTAGCAAGAAAAGCAGGAAAAAGTTGGCTCATTCATTTGTTTTTCTTACATAATAGAGATACAAGAGGAAAACAATATGTAGAGGGTTCTGTTACCTTATTCCAAACTAAAAAACCAGAAAAGATTATATTGTATTTTTCCTCCAATTTGAAAATCAAAGGAATGGAAGAGTTCGCTCGTTTCAACGAATCAAAGCAATACAAAGAGACATTCAATTCATACAAGGTTTTTCTTTCATTATTGTTTACATTAGTGTTTTTCTTTGTTTGTTTTGATAACTTTCAAACTAAATGCAAATCCTAAAACATAAAAACAGAAGTAGGTACCTTCGGGTATAGGTTGCTCGTTGAAGTAAATGGGTTGTAGACTTTAGGGTCCCATTGCTGAGTTGTCAAAGTTGTCGGAGTTGGGTAGAATTATTGTGAGTGGTTTAAGTCCTCAAATGTCTTCTTTTTCAATTTGGGTTATCATATATTGGGGTTTTAAGATGAAAAATAGAAATAAATGAGGTTTAAG